GTACCGGGTACCGGAGAAAGGGGTATTCGGTCAGGATGGAGGGTTCTTTTTTTTTTTAAGGTAGGAGAAATAAAATCGTGTTTGTATGATGATGGAAGGAATCCTGTAGAGGGAGAAGAATTGATTCAGGAATTGTTGGAGCGAAGCGCTTGGTTGGGTAGAAGAGGAAGGGACACAGCGCCCCTGTCGGTGCGGCTGTGTGGTTTTGTGCAGCCGTGTTCAGCCGGGCAGGTGCGTGCAGCGGCGTGGCTCCATCCAGGGTCACAGCCCGTCAAGTGATTGCGACAGAAGGAGGGCGGGACCGAGAGGGATGACACTGAGCGACCTTGGTGTCCGCACTGAGGAAGGAGGGATGGGAGAGGCCAGCAGGAAAGCCGCAAGGAGCGGCCCCGCTGGGGCCAACAGACTGCTGGAGTCACAGACGGAAAGAGAAAAAGAGCACCCGGAGTGTGGGGTGTTGGAAGTTGCCCTTGTGAGAAGCCGCAGCTGTGGGTGGGGCACGGTGACAGGCGAGGATGTCACTGGAGGAGGGAGGGCCACGGAGCTGCAAGGCCAGGGTCCTGGAAGATTCCTGCCGTGCACCAGGAAACCACCTTGGTGAGGACTCCTGACCAAGGGCAGGAGTCCTCACGGGGCAGCAGCCCCTTACTGTCCAGCTGCCGGGCACAGCAGGGGCGGGCATCTATCTCATTTGAAAATTGCCTCTCATTTTTATTTCCAACCATTTGATTTTAATTTATTTCCCCCCCCCGTGACTCATTGGGCATTTATATTTCTTTTATGAACTGTCTTTTTAGTTCTTTTATTGATATTCTCTTAGGCCCTTCATCTAAGAGCTCTTTACAAAGCATCTCAACCCTCTCTGTCACAAATGTTGCCCTGTTCTCCAGCCACTTACCTTTTCTTACCTTTTAAAGGTTTCCAGGCCCTTTTTTTTTTTCTGTGAGCATAATGGTTGTTTCATTTTTTCTGTAGCTGAGTCTAGCCGTATCTGACTGCGTGGATTCAGCCTCATGTGTCATTCACAAAAATCTCTTTTTCCAATCTTATGCCAGACAGAACCACTCACCAATATTTTCTTGAGTTTTATGGTTTCATTATTTATATTATGTTCAAATCCACTCAATTATATTTATAGAATATTAGGTGGTGCTGGACATTTCTCCACCCAATTATTCAACTGTTTCTAGCACTATTAAAATTTTTTCCTTTACATTCTGATGTATGACATCATCATATGCAAAATTTATAATACATGCATGTGTTTTCTCCTCTGTTCCAGTGATCTAGCTAATCCTGCATCAGCCCTCCTGGGGCTACCGTGGCTATAGTGATGCTTTGATGGCACAGCCAGTAAGACACGTTCTACTCATGACTTCTACTCTCTCAGTCTACATATTTTATGATTATAACTGCAATAAAGCTATTAGTAAATACACTTGATCTTAGCCAAAAGGTCAAGAAGTGATGTACTATTATAGTAAACGTACACAGAAAATAATTTGTTCCTAAAGGACACAACTTGAGTTATGGATTTTTTTTATTATTATTACTCATATTATGGGGATACAAATATTGTTAGGATTACATATCTTGCCCCTACCCCCCCACCCCACTATGCCAGAGCTTCAAGCATGCCCGTGCCCAGTTATAATCATAAATAAATATATATTTATATACATATATATTTTTTTTTTAGTCATCCAGCAAATATCTTTCTATTTTTTTTTTAGTACGAGATCTAGTTCTTGCTCAGGCTGGTTTCAAACTCCTGAGCTCAAACAGTCCTCCCACCTCAGCCTCCCAGAGTGCTATGATTACAGTTCCTACCCAGTTCCAGTACCCAGAACTATGGAGAAGCACATCATCCTTCTGTACAGTTTGAATCTCTCAGGTGCGTTAAGTAAACATAAGTAAATAAAATGTAAACCACCTTCCCAGGAATGAGTTCCTTAACGTAATTTTTTCACCCCTGAAATTCTTTACAAGCTTGGGCAGGGATATGATACTGCTACACATAGCTCCCATTCGCAAGGCTGGGCCTGTTTCTCTTCCTCTTCCGACTTATAACAACTCAAAATCCCAGAAAGGCAACTCCCCCCGGTTATACTCACTTAGCACCCTCCATCACCCCACCTCTCTCCCGCACAGCTCCGGCCAGGTCACTGTGACAGCTCACGTCCCAGGCCGGCGTTCTTCACTAATGCCCCAGAAGTTCATTTCACTTGTCAAAATTGGAATCTCCATTCCAGAGTTTCAAGCAGTTTCTCTAAAACTAAACCCTAGCAATCTTCTTTAACTGAGTCTAGGAGTAAGTGTCTCCTAGCTTAGAAGGTTTCTTAAGAAAATATATTCTAATAGGACAATTTTATTAATCAAAAATTCTCAGGTTCATCCCCTCCAAGTGGGTAAAAAGCAAAAAAAAGTTCTCAGGAACTCATGTCTCCATTGCATTTTTAATAATAATCTTGCAAAGAAACAGAATGTGTTGTTTGAAAAGGTATGAACTCTTAAATTTCAGGCAATTTTCAAGCCTTTAACTCATTTTTTCTTTTGAAACAAAACTTGTTTTTCTTTTCAAGCCAGTAACTCGTTTTTCTTTTGAAAGATCTTAATAGTTATTCTTCTCTAAGTCCTTCACTCAAGATCCCTGCAGCACTTAATAAAGATTATAATCATTAGCTTTAAGATGTAGGTATGTGGGTGGCAAGTAGGAATCACAAGATTCTAAATTTAAATTGTGTCTAGTTGAAGGAAAATGTTAAGACTTGTCATAATATGGAAAACATCATTTATAGTGAAATTTGATTAAGTTTTAGGAATGTGTTTTAACTAACTTTTGAATGAGATTTTCATTTTATAGGACTGCTCACTACTAAAACTCAACCTACGGGGGAAGAAAAGGAAGGGGCATGTCAGGGTCCAACGTGAAAAAGCTTCCACTGGCTGAAGCTGGAATGATTCGAGCAGTAAAATAGTGACAGGAATTGAGAAACTAAAGAATAAAATAAATATCCATAAATCCACAGTGATATGAATAAATGATTGAATAAATAAGTAAATGGGGGCTGGGAGCAGTGGCTCACGCCTATAATCCCAGGACTTTGAGAAGCAGAAGCAGGAGGATCGCTTGAGGTCAGGAGTTTGAGATCAGCCTGGGCAACATAGCAAGACCCCATGTCTACAAAAAATAAACAGATTAGCAGGACATGGTGGCGTGCACCTGTAGTCCCAGCTACTCAGGAGGCTGAGACAGGAGGATCACTTGACCCAGGAGTTCGAGGTTGCAGTGAGTTATGATCATGTCACTGCACTCTAGCCCTGGCAACAGAACATGACCCTGTCTAAAATAAATTAATTAATTAAATAACCAAAACAAATAAGTAAATGGGAGAGAAGGGGAAAATATCCCTTAGAGAAGAATTTCAAATAAAATATGTAGAAGGAATGAGGGAAATAGAAAAATCACCTCTGGAACATCACAGTAACAAATACTGCAAGTGAGATCTAAGGATAAATGCTAAATTGAGTGGGCAAAACTTTAGGGAGAAATAGAGCATTTGTAGCGTCTCAAAGTATCTCCTCCAAAATACTTATTAATTACCATGGTGTTTTCAACAAATGTCCAAATATTCCTTGATACTGTTTCTTCCAGGAGGCAGAGCTTAATTTCCCTGTCCTTGAGTGTAGTCTAAACCTAGTGATGCACTTACCGCTTACAAGGAACAGAGGATAGAAAAGGAAAACTAGAAACTTTACAGTAGAGGAAGCTACCAGATATCACCTCCTCAAGTGATCAAGGTGACTATCACCAGTAATAAGTCATGTTGGGATCATGAGATATGATATGATGTGATGTGATGAGGGGGCTACCTCACTTCTGTGGTCCTCTTTCCAAAAATCTATAACCCCAGTCCAATCATGAGAAAACAGACAAATTTAAATTGAGAGACGTGCTACAAAATATCTAACCAGTAGACTACAAAAGTGTCAAGATCATGAAAAACATGGGAAGACTGAGAAAATGTCAGGAAGAGAGGACTACAGAGAAAGGATGACCAAATGCAACAAAATGGGATGGAATCTTGGATTCTATCCAGGAACAAAAAGAAAAAATGACATTAGTGGCAAAATGAATGGAATCCAATTAAAGGCTGTAGTTTTGTCATGTGGTACCTATGTTTAATTTCCTTCTTTTGACAAATGTACTAAGGTTTAAGCAAGATTACCATTGGGGGAGTGGGGTTAAGGATATACAGGAACTCTTTGTACAATCTTTACACTCTTCTATAAATCTAAAATTATTTCAAAATTAAAAGTTTTTTTAAAAGTCAATCTTGGCTGGGTATAGTGGTTCACGCCTGTAATCCTAGCACTCTGGGAGGTCAAGGTGGGAGGATCACTCAAGGTCAGGAGGGTCATTTGAGGTCAGGAATTTGAGACCATCCTGAGCAAGAGCGAGACCCCTTCTCTACCAAAAATAGAAAAAAAAAATAGCTGGATGTGGTGGTGTGCATGCCTATAGTATCAGCTGAGGCAGGAGGATCACTTGAGCCCAGGAGTTTGAGACTGCAGGGAGCTGCGATGACACCACTGCACTCTACCTGCAGCAACAGTGTGAGATTTCTCTCAAAAACAAACAAACAAACAAAATCTTATCTGTTATCCCTATAGGACAAATGCTGATATTCCGCTTATCTGTTATCCCTATAGGACAAATGCTGATATGGACTTGTAGGTATGGAACAGGAGTATGTGTATCATAATTTCTTAGTAATTCTTACCTTAGACATTTTAAAAAATCAAGTTGATGTCCCTGTGGTTGTCATATGGACTAAATATATAAGATAATACCTTTCTCCTTGTAAAAAAAATTTTGGTTTTTCACAGTAATCTATACATTATTATCTTTGTACATTGATATGTTATAGGCACATATCAGGATGGCATGCGTGACTTCTTTGGAAGTGTTCTTTTGAAAAATAATTAAGAAATCCAGGTGAAGAGGGATAGAAATGTTTTAATTGTTGAAATACATTGGTAAATTGAGTAATTTACAATGCAGTACTAAGTAGATACACTTGTCGTTATCAAATTGAGAACTTTCCAGATACTCACTAACCATCAATCACACGTCCTTAAAAGCAGCATAGAATGAGAATGAACATGATGAGAGGCCATGATCACACAAAGGCAGAATGGGGGACTCGATGGCTAGACGTATTCGTAGTTACATAAGCCTTTGAAAATAAGATTTTAATCAAAAGGTGCACATGGCATGCAAATTTAAGTAGTTTATTTTTAAATATTGCGATTTTTTTCAAATATCGCAATGAAATATATTGCTCCTACTAAAGGAAATCCTCTGACATTTAAATAAAATTTGAAAACCAAACAGTAAAAAAGAGAAAGAGACAGTAGTAAGAAATCGATTTACCAATTTTACAGCTAAAAATTAACGTGAAGTAGAAATAGTGAAAGGTAGCAGACAAATATATTATTTTAGGTAATTCGTGTATAATGCCGTATTATCTTAAGTTATAAATAGAATAAGGATTCTGTTATATAAAAACTATCAAAAAAGGATCAGTGAAAAGACATGACCTCCATGGACGGTGCTGAATGGCCGGGGTGATGATGCCACGGAGCACAGCAGCCCAGGCCAGGCGACAGCAGCCTCCGTGACAACTAGTTAACTGGTCTTTCGCAGGTGGATCACAGAAAGTTCCACACGTGAGTGTACTGTCTAACCAATTCCCTTCTATGACCACGGCATTCTACCTGTACCCATGGTTTTAAGGATACAGTTAAGATTTTGGGGGGCAGGAGAGGGAAGGACAACTGCTTAGAATGTCCTAGGAAATGTCTGTGCACATGACAATGTCCCACGGGGCCAAATCCCATCCAAATTGATCAGCAAGCTATGAAGGCAATAAACAGAAGAGGAGAAAAGAGTTAGCAAACTGGAAAAGGTACAACCTAGATATTTCAGCCCTGAGCCATTTTTTTTTTAAGCAAAGCACATATTCAGCAATCACCCAACATTTATTTACAACTTATAGACAGCCATCAGAGTGCTAACCACTGCTGACATTTATATAAAGAGACAACGTCAGACAGAGAAGAGACTTATAAATTTGCAAGTAAAATGTAACACGACAAACAATGCCCAAACCTAGCTGCATGTATGTCAGTATCACCCAAATAAAAACTACAGACTGTTCGGCCACAGTCCCATCCCTTCCCTACTTGGTCAGAACCTGCTGGGGGAGCCTGGCCATCCACATTGCGTGGCATTCCCCCCACCAGGGGATTTTGACGCAGCCAGTCTGTCCAGTGGCGGCCATCCATTGGCACTTGAGAACCACTCCTTTAAGCTCCTCTGTGCTGAAAGGACTCTGCATATCTACATGGGCACAACTGTAACCCTAGAGTCATCTGTAGAAGAAACCACACATTTGAATCGTGATATAGGTAATTTTAAGGGATTCTGAAATCATCCTTCAGTTTGTTTCAAAAAGTAACCAAATCAACTTTAAACTTTGGTCATTGAGTGAGTTCAGAGACAGCTTTACATGTTAGATCAAAAAACAACAACAACAAAAAAAAAACAAACAAAAAACAGGATCTCCAATCCTTTCCCTAAAATGTCTCCTCTCCAAAGGACAGTCTCATCATCAGAGTTTCTGCTTCAACCTGGGCCTAGAAAGCCATGAACTCAGACTTGTCACTCATAAGTACCACAATGGACTCAGCAACTAAGAAAAATAAATAGCCTTTCAACTTAAAAAACTTTTCAGATACTTCAAAGGAGACAGAAGAAAGGCCAGGATCAGACTGATTGTTCAGAAATAGAATTAAAGAATAAGGAAAACTGAGAAGAGATAGAGGTGGCAATAAAATAATGTATATTTATAGCCATGAACAGTAAGGAAATATTTTAGCTAGCTGCCTGAAGTTATGTGGGCTGGCTTACCAGCAATATTGCTAAATTGTTATCAGGGAATTTTAGATCCACCCACAAGGACGAGCAATCATCTTGTCTAACTCTCCCATGAGAAAACAGATTGACAGAAGCTGAGGGGAGTTGAAGGAGAATCATCTAAGATCTGTGTGGGCAGCAGAGCTGCCCAGTCCCCTAATATCTACCTACACAGCACCTCTCTCCACTCTGTCCCTGTGCTTTTTGAAATGCACCTTATTTTCAGGAGGGTAAGCAGTAATAATATATACTTGCTTTAAACTTCTCTTTTGTATTTGATACAAATAATAAAAGTACTTCTATGTAAGGGAAAACTGGCAGGGAACTCAGAAATCTATATGGAGGGTTTAGGACTTATTTAAAATATTCTAGAAATAAGCTAGGTGAGGTGGCTCATGCCTATAATCCTAGCACTTTGGGAGGCCAAAGAGGGAGGATCGTTTGAGGCCAGGAGTTTGAGACCAGTCTGAACAACAGCAAAACTCTGTCTCTGCAAAAACACAGGAAAATTATCCAGGCATGGTGGTGTGCACCTGTAGTCCCAGCTACTGGGGAGGCTGAGGCAAGAGGATTGCTTGAGCCCAGAAGTTTGAGATTGCAGTGAACTGTGATCATGCTACTGCATTCTAGCCCAGGCAACAGAGCAAGACCCTGCCTCAAATAAATAAATAAAATAAAATACTAGAAATAGAAAATCTCCAGCAAATTTTCAAAAAGAAATCCAACACCCTGTGGCCATGAGTACTGGGGAATAAACACCCATAATGTTGTTGCCTTATGAGAAAGTCTTCAAAGAAGTAGCTACCCCAAGGTTGTCGTAGTTCTTGTCAGGAAGAAACTAGTTATGGCTTCTGTGCCCCCTTCCCCCAGCAGGAAAGCTTATCTATCTGTGAACTTGGTCTGCAGTCCCACCCCATCGCAAACACTGACTCCACTACTGGCCTTGGGCAAGAAGTTGGTTCAGTATCAATCAGTCTTGCTTCTGCTCTGCCAATGGTTGGATTTTGGTTATTAAAAAAAATAGTATGGTGATGATGATGATAATGATGACAACAATCACCAATCATCAATCACAATAATCAATTTAAGCATTAGCTCCATTTTACAGATTACAGAACTGAAGCCATTAAAGGGCAGTAACTTGCCCAACTAGTAAGTGGAAGAGCCTGAATGCAAATCCAAGGTTGTCCGGCTTGCAGAAGAGCAGGGGCTATCTGCGGAAACCACCAGAGGTTCCAGGTGTCACTCAGCAAGACTGAAACACAGTGGGGATCCAAGCATCACGTGTGTTGTGCACCAGGTAAACTAAGACCCTTTGCCTCTATGGAAATGCTGTTCTGTGTCTTTTAGAGACTGGTACACAGAGGGTAGTTAATAAATGAAAGCTATTGTTTTTTCTTGGTCTTGTTCTCATTTATTTTATTATAATTCTAGCTCCAAGCTCTTTGCCAGGATCCCAGGTCCACAGTGCTTCATCTTCCAGAAAATGGTTTCTTCTGTCCATATTGGACATGTTTTATAATACCCAACCTGTAAACTGAACGTAGGATTCAGTGTATTAACTAACCCCTGGCTAGTGCCAGACACTTAATATTGATTCTAACCCAATTCCCAGTCCTAGCCTTTCTGGTCTCTCCCTATCATTTCTCAAGTCCTAGGCCCTCAAAGCTTTTGGCAATGAAGAAGGGCGAGTTCTCGGTGTTTTAGGTGGAGAAAATTAAGTTGCATTTTAAACAAAATGAAATGAAAAAAAGAAAGTAGCTGTAAAGAAAATTGATCTGATCATTAACCTCTTCACAATAAAATATACTCGATTCCATAGTATGAGACCCCTTCTTCTAATCCTGAAGTTTAAGATTTCTTAGAAGTATATAGCAATAATATATATAGTCCATTCATCATCAAGACTAAATACATAGAATTATTTAGAAAAACATACAGCACCTCTTGATCTCTTGATTATTGAGTTGTGATGTTATTTTCTTCTAATCTTAAAGAGAAAATTTTAAAAAGTTAAATGTTTAAATTATAAAGAACGTATTCTAATTTCCCACAAAACTACAAACAGTAGTAACATATATGTATTTGCTAGTCTAAATCATAAAGTGGAGAAATAACAATGAGAAACAAACATTGTATGTTAAAAATACTGTTATATAGCCTATGTGCAAAGTAAATATACTAATAGTAAAATATTAAATGTAAAACTATACATCAGATGCATCAGAAAACTCATTGGTACAGTGACTTAGTAAATCAGCATTCTTTATCACGAGCCTTGCTTAAAAATTTACTCCAGCAAGAAGCTACTGATATCTATCAATCATACCTATTCAAAAGGACTTCATTAGCCCCACAATTGCTAATTATTAAAACTCAGAAAATCAAACCTCACTTCATTTAATTATACAATGGACAGTTACTTTTCCTTTAGTCACCAGATTGCTTATCAGTTAGTCCTCTTATATTATAGAAATATAACTTTGTGTGCAACAAAATTTCCATGAACTGACTTAGATGTTAGCTTTCATTTTCACACTGATCATCACCAAAATTAATAAGAAATTAAAAATATCCATGGAGCATAACCACGAATAAAAGCTAAATTTTGCTCTGAAATTCCTCTTAACCATGTAGATGGCCATTTCAACAAATGATTACAATGAACAGGCAGTACTTATAGATGGTCCACTGCAACTAATATGTAGGTCGAGTCAGGTAAGCTGAAATATAAATTTCATAGTTTTTCATAAAACATAAATATATAGACGACATAAATACCACATGATTTCACTTACTTTTCCGTACGGTCTTTGTTTGATTGGACACCATACTGACAGCTTCGGATGGCAGGCCAACGTACACTCCTCCATAATTTCTTCATGGAAAGAAATCAGACCAATTTAAATGGTACTATTTATTCACAGGATGCAACGGAAGCATGGAGTACTTCAAACAATTATATAATTATTTAAATAACTCATGATTTTTCTAAAGCAGAATTTAGAATATTCATGCCCTTAGGAACATAATTGTTTTCCCTGCATTAAAAAGAAGATATATATATAGATATAGATATAGATATATAAAAAGAATATTCTGTTGAATTAGTAGCATTTCTAGATATTTTACTTGCAAAGAGAGAAGAAGTTGGGATGTTATAAGTTAATGTAGTAATGAATATCAGTGGAGAGACATGTTACAGTGATCAATGAACATTTATCAAGAATTCAACGTGGTCAGCACGATAGTAGGTGTGATGGACACACAAAACCATTTTACTTTTAAGGAGATGTAAATGTAAAATTAGGAGAGGAAAAGTTTAGGAGTAATGACAGTAGATTGTGGGTAATCACAGGAGGAGTGGGAAGACGGAAAAGGCTGAGAGCATGCAGGGAAGCCACCTGGTTAGGGACAGTAGCACAATCAAAGGCCATAGGATGGAAATTAACATGGGCCATGTGCACAGGACAAAAACCACACTTGTTTGAAAGCAGCAAAGGTTATGAATCCTGAGTAAGTTCCTTTTCAGATCACAGGCTTCAACCTGTATTCTCTGTGCCAAAAGTTTTCCTGGTGGAATCTGTATTATTGGTAATGTGTTATAATGCATTAAATTCATGAGGTGTGGCTAAAATTATTCAAATTAAACCAAACATACCTCCTCTTGTCATCTTCTGTTATTGATTCTTCTGTTCTAAAAGGTCAAAAACATTTGCTATGAGATGCTTGGTGACATAGTCTGAGACTTCATTTTTGGTAATAAGAAAAAAGGGACCCCGGATTAAAGTCAATTTTGTTTATTTCAAGAGTTCCCACCAGTCTTAAGTGTAAGACCCAAAACTATTCATCAGTTATTTCTGTAACACAGTATTCTAACTCCACCTCAAATGTTCACACAATAAAACCTTGTTGATTTTCTATTCAGCAAATATGCAAATCCAGAAAATGCCAAAAAGCCCAATTGCCAAACAAAATGAAAGCTGAGGGCAGCCGGGATTGGAAAGTAGCCTAAGTTCTCTTCTTGGCCGTGGCATTGGCTCTGTATGTGACAGACAGGAAGCTGCCTGTGAAATGGGGGAGTCGAGCAGATGATACCCAAAGTCCTTTCCAGCCTAACACACTAGGAATTGGGGTCTTTTATGCCAGCTCAGTGGCATAACTATAGGATCAAAAGATTTCTTTAGTGCAAAAAGAGTTAATGCCCATTTGATTTCCTTTCATCTAAAAACACAAACCGTTTTATACATGACCTATTACAAAAACAAGGGAAGAAATGTTTAAAATGAAGCTTCTAGAGGGAATCACTACTTTAAAACACACAGCATTAGAGGAATCCATGTTCTACTAGAATTCTTTGGCATAGTTCTAAGAAGATCAGGGAGCTTTTTTGAAGCTCTAGTTAGTACGCATACATTACTTTTCTGAAAGACAAAAAAACTCAGCAAGACCCAAATGTATCAGACTGAGCTCAAACTATAATCCTAAGGGGCTTCAGTCAAGAAGAAAGACTGGAAACATCTAAACATCTTCATTGAATCTTCTGATTGAGAGATTGTCTTCCTGTCACCCACTTAAAAGTTGTGAATATTTCAAATGTAACTATATGTGCATGAGATTTTTGCTTTATTGCAACAGACAGTAACTTCAAATCTATAAAGAAGGAAAATGTAGATTTGGCAATTATCTGATAAATGCTGGTCATGAACAGCTAATACTCCAATAAAATGCAAACTCCACCTTGAGATCTAATTTATCCAAACTGAGTATAACCTAAATTCACCAGATAGTTAACTTCATTTACCACTTGCTAAAGCTGGATCGTTTTTTAATTCAAAAGTGTCAAAGCCATCTGTATTAGAAATGGTGTTATGCTTATTGATGTGGTATAAGAAAGTGTTGTTTGCTACTTTTAATTAAAATGGATTTAAACTCTTAAGTATAGATATTGGGGAAGTGATGGTGACAAGCTTGCTCAAGATATTAGAACTGTTTACTTTGGTCCTGAGTGGCTAACATTATCATAAAATCATTTTTGAAGCTGTATATAAATGGTAGTCTTAGACACAAACAATGTTTCATATTTTCTGCCACAGCTATTCTTTTCACATCCAATTCTGTATCTGTTTATTTTAATTAATTATTCAACATCCTAAAACCCAATTTGTGTTCCCCCTTATAAAAGTAATCAACAACCTTACAAACCTGACTGGCAGGAAATGATAACATAGCAGCCATACTTTTGGGATAATAAATTCAGCTTGGGATATAATACAAAATCTTTAGAAATACCATTTATGTTAAGTGAAATAAGTCAGGAACAGAAAGTTAAATACCACATGTTCTTACTCATATGTGGAAACTAAAAAAAGTTGATCTCATAGAAGTAAAAAGTAGAACAGGATATCAGAGGCTGGAAAGGGAAAGGGGGAGAAGAAGATAGGGAGCAGTTTACTAAAGGATACAAAATTACAGCTAGATAGGAAGAAACATTTATAACACTGTAGGATGTGTTCTGTAGCACTGTAGATGGCTACAGTTAACAACAATATATAGTTTCAAATAGCTGGAAGGAGTATATTGAATGTTTCCAACACAAAAGGTGATAAATATTCAAGATCCCAGTTACCCTGATCTCATCACTGTGCATTACATGTATTGAAACATCACCATGTATACCCCATAAGTATGTACAATTATTGTGTCAGTTAAAAATAATAAAATAAAATTATATCCATTAAAAATAATTAAAATACCATTTCTAAGATGTCCTTTTTTTTTTTAAGAGGGAACCCAATTCTAGAAATTACTACCCAAATTCTTAGTGAAAGCCAACCTTAGCCTTGAATATTCCTCCCCTCAATTAATGAGACTTCCTGAGACCAAAACCCCTTCCTTTCTGGGCAGCTGCTCTTTTTGAGCCGTCCCGCTCCCTCTCTCTTGAGAGAGTGTACTTTCACTTTCACTAAAAGCTGCTTGCTTTGCCTTACATGGTGTGTCCTTTCTTCCATTGATCACCAAAGGCCTGCGAGAACCTCCACTTGGAGGATAGTAACGTGTGCCATCATCGTGGGCACACTCAGATTTCTGCTGGGCTTCAGAAGTAATGAAAATAGTGTATAGTCCTCCTTCAACCCTGAGGGTCCAGATCAAATTCCCCCGACTTTCAACACATTTTGGAGTTGTTGAAAAGATAAATCCTCAGTTGATCATTTAAACATGACTCACTCTTGCAGAGGAAGATATTGCTTAGTGATGTGTATTTTATCAAAGCTGGCCTGACCATTGGCATGCCAGAAAAAGAAGTAGGAAAAAAAAAAAAAAAGAAAACATAATGCAACTGATCATGGGCAACCACTGTAACCACAATTATAGATAGATGGCTTCAGGTTCCCTTTTATCTCAGAATTTCCATCACTTCTGCTTCTAGCCCACTTCCTGTGAACTTGCTAAAACCAGCATGGTGCTCTTCTTGCCTTTCTCAGACTGAATATCTGTATTGATCCAGATTCTCCAGGTAGTTATGCACCTTCTGTTTCATACTAGCTTTGTAGACTTTTCCTGAATGAATCAGAGAGACTGAGTGTCTCCCTAACCATAAATAAGCTCTACCTTTTTTTATTATTATTATTAAGAGATGGAGTCTTGCTCTGCCACCCAGGCTAGAGTGCTGTGGCACGATCACAGCTCACTACAGCCTCCTGGGCTTAAGTGATCCATCTGCCTCAACCTCCAGAGTAGCTGGGACTCCAGGCAGGATCCACAACACTTGGCAGCTCTGCCTTCTTTTAAGTCAGGGATCCCGATGGTGGGCTGCCTCCAACCTGCTACTCAACTGTGGTTGCTCTTTGGGGCAACCTTACCTCTCCTTTTTTTCATTAATGTATTTTGTCCATGCCTATTTAAAACCAAATATCTGTATGGAACACCTAAACCCTGCAATCACTTTACACTACTGTGATGTTCATCTTATCAATAACTATAACTTTCATCAAGTGCAACCTTATTCAGAGTTAATACATAAAAATAAACCACTACTCCCTTCTTCCTCAGTAATAACACAGTAATCAAAATATTTTCATCACTATACTTGCTTAGTTTCTGGATTGTATAAAACAGCTAACCCCAGTGACCAAAAGGTTTCCACAATAAAATAATGGAACCATGTCATGTTAAAGGACAAATACAGATGACAAATATCAGACACCAGCCAGCCACTCCAATTACCATCTTCTAACTCATCCTAGCTACAACTTGCCTGAAAATACAGAAAGTTCTCACTTCCCTTAGCCTTCCAGAAATAGCAAAGTTATGTGGCAAAACAATGATTTATTTTTACTTATTCATCAAGAAAAATGTTCTAAGTATAAAGCTATTCTTATTAGAGCTGATCTAAAAAGCAGAAAAACAGCCTGTAGTCTTTTCTTTTTCCATATTTGCAGTGTCACTAAAGAGGCTAAACTTATTTTGTTTTGTAAACAGTACAAATTGAATATGGAAACCTTTGGAGACCATACAATTAGCTCTAATGATCTATTCTTGGTTACCATTCATGATAATCTTTTGGAACAGGTTTATTAATTGACTATGTTTACTTCCCTCTACACTACAATTCTCCAGATGAAAGTGTAATCATTTAATTTTCTTTATAATATGTTTTTACTATGATTCCTGCTTTAGGGGTGATTCTAATCAATTCTAGCAAACACTTAATTACATATGATTTTTAATGAATTACGTCTTCCCATTGACTGTTTTGGTCTGTGTTTAATTTTATTCATTTCTTCACAACTACAAAACCTCTTTGGACAGTTTTCTTTCAGTCTCTCTCCCTGGATAAGCCCTTTGGCCCACATTGGTCCCTTTCTTTATTCTACAATGTGTTCCTGGAGAACATGAGTCATACTCACTTCAAAGAAATGCTTTCAACTTCTCTTTGTAAGGAGGCAATGCACCAACTGCATTGTCCCTACCCTCCTAGATGTTCTCTTTCTAAGGGGAACACAGTGTTAGGGACTACTTCAGCTTTGGCTGTAGAAGTATCATTTGCTACAAGGAAGGCAGGAATGCTCTCTCTGTGGCCTTACTTTAAAAACCTTGCTCTTCCTTGATAGCACCACTTTTCTCAAAACCTCAGAAATATGCAGCTTGTTTGCACATATCCCAGTATCTCCAAACAGGAGATGGAAGCCCACATGCTCATTTCCCTGCAGAGCGATTTCAGATGGGGCAATTTCACCTTCTTCCCAACACTCTCATTTTTTGAATCTCAACTCTGCTATTACTGTCACAAATGCACTAAAGATTTTTGGCCCTGACCTAAAGTTTTTCTTTCTGGCCACCATTATGTTGGTCAATTTAAAAAATCCATGAAAACCACCTCTCACCTCCCATTTTACTAACTTCCTTCATCTCAACAACTTCTACGGCCACTCTGGTAACCTGCTCCCATGGCTGCTCCATGGAGCTTAGCTGCTAGAACCACTCTACCACACACATCTCAGAGTGGAAAATCCCACTCCCTAGGGAGAAAAATATTTTCCTTCCGATCTTCCCAAGCCTGTTTCTCATTGCAGCATCACCTCCCGTTCATCCGCCCCTGCCCGTTCCCACCACCCACCGGCCCTCAGGCTCCCCTCGCAGTCCAGCATTTCAGGGGCACTTGCTGGCCACCACCTCTCCCTGTCACCCCCGGAT